GGTCCGTGCAGGTTGAGGTGCCTCCCTTGCTCACTTACCGGGTCGAGTTTGAGTACTTCGCTGCAGTGGAGGATTGTTGACACCCAATTGCCTTGGCGCAGATACAAACTGACACACACACACACACACACACACACACCGCATGCGCGAATGCGTATTTGAGGTGCGTATTTGTGTGTGTGTGATGTGTGTGTGTGATGCCCACCCACTTGGACAGGTTGAGGTTGATGGAGACCTTCATGGTCTTGACCCGATCGGCAAGCTCCGTCGGCGGCTCATCCAGGCCATCGAAATACTCCAACGCCTTACACACACACACACACACACAGCTGCCGCTGCCGTGAGAGAGCCCCCCATCCATCTATCCATCGCTGCACCCCCATGGTCGGCTGACGCAGCTTCCCCCCCAGCAGTCACCCACCTGTTTCCTACCTTACCAGGTTATAGTGTTTGTGGGCGTCTTGCAGGTTTCCCTGTACGAGCAAGTGGTTGCCCTGCTCCTTGGCGTCCATGGCCGCCTGCAGCCGCTCCTCGACAGACATGCTCGACGGCGACCGGGGCTTGGCCGCTATCGACACCAGCTCCACCTCATACTGCAGTCAGTGCATGCACACAAGACACGAAGGCAGCACAGCATAAACAGACAAGACAACACACGCACAATGAATGGCCTGCGATGCGGTGCGATCGATGTGTCGCGAGCGATAGTGCGTGCGTGCGTGTGCCCATGCCATCATGGGGTTGGTTGGCTGGGTGACCTTAATTACCTTGATGGGTGTGTTGGGTGGAATGGCACCGCCTGGTGAGCCAGCGTCGCCATAGGCCAAGTCGGGAGGAACCGACTAGGCAAACAAGACAAACAAGAGGGAGGACACACGCACACGCACGTTGTTGGCCTACATGTTTGGGTGTGGTGTGTGCGTGTGAGTGCCCTTAGTATCGGCTGGCTCTATCCAACTGACCACAGAGCACTTTTCCCCGGCCTGCATGGACGTGACGCATTGTTCGAGACCAGGGATGACCGCCGCGCTGTTGACCGTGTACACCAATGGACAGCCCCTCTCACCTGCACAATCAGCCACACACACACACACACACGCACACGCACAGCAGAAGTAAGTGCACTTCGTATGAGCTGCCTGCCTGCCAGCCGTACGTGTGGAGTCGACTTTCTCTCCGGTGTCGAGGTAGCAGTCGTAGTGCACCTCAACCTCATCGCCGCCTTCAGGACTGACTCAGACACACAACATAGCACACACAAAGATCAAATGAGTCATCCTGCATGTGTGATCTTGTCATTTTCACTTGGGGCCCTCGCCAGGCACAATGACCGTCTTACTCTCCAACGTCATCTGCACCAAAGCTAAGCTTGCAGACCTACCTCAAGCTCGCAGAGTGGCCTCGGCAGAATTGCGTGGTCTAAGGAGGCGGCAGACGACCCACACCACCCAGCCGGACACCTGCTCCCGAGATCTATTCATCGCCCCTGCTGCAGTGCACTCACTCATGTCCCTCTCACCAGCAGCCAGACGCCTGGCGGTGATCTCCCTGCCAGCTGCACGGCAGCAGGCTGCTGCTGTTGGTGTTGGTATCGGGAGATGCCGCAGTCGCGTCAGCTGGGCTCACGTGAGGCCTGCACCGCCTGACCCCATTCTGGGGCTGAACGAGGCGTACCTCGCTGACACGGACAAGCGGAAGATCAACTTGAGTGTCGGGGCTTACCGGGACAATCAGGGTAGGTGGGTATGCTGAGGGAACAAGCAGGAGAAAGGATTCGTGGAAGTGAAGTGCGTTGCGCTGTGTTGTGTTGTGTTGTGTGGCGTTCGTTGTGTTTGTTGTGGTGCGGTGTGCGTGTGCAGGTCAGCCATGGGTGCTGCCGAGTGTGCGGCGTGCAGAGGAGCTGCGGCTGCAGAACGAGGACAGGCACCACGAATACAACCCGGTCCGGGCCGCAATGCAACAAACATACCAACGAAGGAAGCGAAGCCTGCGAGCAGTCGTCCGTCGCATCGATGTCTGTGTGTGTGTGTGTGTGTGTGCAGATCACCGGCAAGAATGACTTTGTGAGGAACGCTGTGGCACTGGTGAGTGAGTGAGGCGGAGAAGAGTCAGTACAATCTGCGTGTGGGGTGCTGTGGTGTGGGTGCTCGGTGCGTGTCTGTCTGTCAGGCGTATGGGGAGGATTTGTGTGCGGCCAGGCACATCGCGGCGGCGCAGAGCCTGTCTGGCACGGGGGCGTTGCGTGTGGCAGCGGAGTGGCTGCATCTCTACTTCAAGGGCAACCCCGTCGTCTACCTCCCACAGCCCACATGGTAACAAAGACAAAGACAACGACTGTGTGCATGGCAAATGGGCCATCCATCCATCCATCCATCAAATCCACTAGCTTGTGTGTGTTGTGTTATCAATGTTAGGTCGAACCACCCGGCGATATTTCACAAGGCTGGACTGCAGACGAGGACCTACAGATACTTCGACACCCGCACTAAGGCAGGCACGCAGGCAGGCAGGCAGAAGGAAGACGTGACATATATGGCGTGACATGGGCGGCCCTGCGTGACGTTAAGTGCATGCAGGGTTTGGACTTGAAGGGCATGTTGGAGGACCTGGACCACGCAGAGCCCATGAGCATCGTCCTCCTCCACGCCTGTGCCCACAACCCGGTCAGTCAGCGCCCCAGTGGGGTGCACTGCACTGCACGTCTGTCTGTCTGTGTCTGTCGGTCGACATATATATGTGTGTGTGGTGTGTGCTGTGCTGCACTGCAGACAGGTGTGGACCCCAGCCGCGATGAGTGGGGCGAGATCCTGGAGGTCATCAACCACTGGCAGCACCTGGTGGTCTTTGACATGGCCTATCAAGGCTTCGCTACTGGCTCCGTCGAGAGAGATGCGTGGCCCGTCCGGTGAGGGAGTTAGTGCCGTGAGGGACGTGAGGGACAGGGCCGCATTCTCTCTCTGGATACGATACCTCTTCGGGGTGTGTGTGTGTGTGTGTGGACAGTGAGTTTGTCCGAGCGGGTCATCAGGTCATGCTCGCGCAGTCATTCGCCAAGAACATGGTGTGTGTGTGCGCTGACTGCACTGCCACACCCCTTAGACACACGTCTACACGGACACAAATGTGTGTGTGTGTGTGCGATTAGGGTCTGTATGGCCAGCGAGTCGGGTGCTTCAGCATGATCTGCCAAAGGTAGGAAGGGAGGTCCACACACACACACCGTTGGCACACACACACACACACACACGAGACCCCTGTATGTTTGTATGGTTGCCTCCCTCCACCCACCATGTATGTGTTGCTTATGTGCATGCAGCGAGGAGGAGCGGGGTGCGTGTGAGTCTCAGCTCAAGAAGATCATCAGGGCCATGTACAGCAGCCCTCCTGGCTTCGGCAGCGAGATCGCCGGCACCATACTTGCAGACTCAAATCTCAAGGCACAGTGGTTCAAGGTACACACACACACACACACGTGCACACACGTCCCACGGATGGCCGGGTGGATGGGCGGGCACAGCACACGTGGGTGTGGGGGCTGTGCTGTGTGTGGGTGGGGTGCCTCTCTCAACAAACACATACAGGAGTTGGAGGAGATGTCTGGCCGCATCAACAGCATGAGGATGCAGCTCTACACCCTACTCAAGGACAAACACCACCTCGACTGGCCGCACGTCAAGCAGCAGATCGGCATGTTCGCCTACACCGGTTTGGGAGCGGGGCACTGTCAGAAGCTGGCCGCCGACTACCACATCTACCTCACACTCGACGGCCGTATCTCGATTGCCGGCCTCAACGACTCCAACATCGAGTACGTCGCTGACAGCTTCGCCGCCGTTGCAAAAGACAAAGCACTGCACTGACGCAGTGCTGCCATGCATGCTGGTCGGTGTGTGTGTGTGTGTGCGGGGGCAAGAGAGAGAGAGGGAGGGGTGGATGGGCGGCTGCGAATAGCCTGCCTGCCTGCCGTGTTTCCGTCTCATTTTTCTTCTTTCGACTTGCCCTCCATGCATGGAACGAGGGCTGAGTAATTGCATGCTTGAGGGGCTGAGTTGCATCACGAGTGCTGTAGGTGCGTGTGGTGTGGTGTGGTGTGGCTTTGCCTGGGCTATGGGTAGCTAGCTACTGCTACGTACGACAGACAGGACGAGTGTGCTGTCGATTCCGCGCCCAAATCATGCCTGCCTGCCTGCCTGCCTCATGGACCAACGACTGCATGCTCATGTCTGAGCGTGAGACACCCATGGAAGCATAGCTGGCCATGGCTGGCCACCCAAACCAAACCACGACGGCCGACCGTGAAGGAAGGGACACACAAGACCTCACATCATCACAGCCGGCCGTTGCAGGCTGGCTGGCTCGTCAGTCAGTCAGTCAGTCACGGGAGAGTTAATGGCATCACGATGGATGCGATGCAGCCACTGGACGGAGCGCACCACATGACGCATAGCATGAGCATCCACACACGCACAAATGCCACACTAGGCTGAACGACTGGCTGACTGGCTGGCTGGCTGGCTCGCACCACGCTCGTATCGACAACAAGGACGACGGGACGGACGGACGAAAGAGGGAGACACACAAAAACAGCTCGCTCACTCACTCAGTCAGTTGTGTATGTTTGTTATGCATGTCTATGATGGCTGTAAGACCAGCCCCGCGGCGATGGTCTTGCCCCGATCCCGCAGAATCACACGACTCAACGTGCCCACACCACCAGAGCCTGACACACGTGGATTAATTGGATGATTGGATGGATGGGGGAAGGAAGACACAGAGGGGAACCACAGACAGACCCACAGCGATCCAGTCAGTCTATTTAATCTATAGCTCTCTGTGTGTGAGCATGTGATGTGTGGTGTGTGTGTTTGTGTGTAGTGTACCCTTGCAGTCGAGGCACACAGGTTTTGGGACCGTCAGCCGAACGATGGCCACCATGCCCTTCACCAGAGCCCTGATGGATGGATGGATGGGACACACGAGAGGATCGATATATGTCTGGCGGACAGGACCCCACAAGGGCCGGGCCGTCCGTAGCTTAGCTTAGCTTAGCTTACTTTGGTCGTTTGTTTTCCCTCTCTCCAGTCTGTTTGTTGACGATAGCCTCGAGGGCCGCTATGGTCGCACTGTCCACCCCCGTGTGCAGGTACATCATCACCTGGTGGACATCACAATATCACACAATCTCACAATCTCTCACACACAAGTCTCTCTGCGCCTCTCTTAGATACGTGCTGCTTGTCTTGTGTGTGGGGGCTGGCCTGACCTGCTGGCCCTTGACGATTGGGATGTCCAGATCAAACACCAGCAGCTGGGCCGTGAACGATGTCACCACCGGCAAGGGGGACGACGGGTCACACAGCACGGACGACACGCTGCACCGCACCCCCACCACACAAGATACCACAAGACCTGCAGGCCGCCCTTTCTTTGACGTGTCGGCAGTGCGTCTGTCTGTTTGTGCTGTCAGTCAGTCCGCCCACCTGACGAAGTGCGGCTCCACATTGAGAAGGGCCGTGTCGACATAGTCTCCGCTGCGGCACTCAGGCACTGACGCCCCGCGGCACTCGAGGCCCTTGACGATGGCCGTCTCGTTGGATGGCAGGATGAGCACCTTCTGCCCGTTGCGCAGCGTCCCACCGTCGACCTTCATCGACACACTCGTCTTGTCACCCGTGCGCCACACGTCACTCACGCACCCCTTGAACGGACCGCCAGACGCACCGGTGCTGTCGCCGCGACCCTTCGTCTGCAGGCCGTCTGTAAGCACACACACACGGGGGGTGAGGATGCAAGTCTCTCTCGCTCTCTCCATCCACCCAGTGCAGTGACGCACGCACCGATGAGGTCGACAAGAGTGGCCCCCTCGCCCCACCATGCCTTCAGCTCTGTGTGGATGGATGCCACAGCCAAGACAAGGATGGCAGTCATGCCATTCATTGTCTCTCCTAAGACCTCGTTGACAGATAGGGTTACTCACTGACTCCCTCACCAGCGCAGTTGTTGTCGACGATGTTGGTGCCCTCGAAGGCGCTGAGTGGGAGGTACTGGACGTTGCTGCTCTTGAAGCCAGCCTCGGGGCCGATGATGAAGCCGTGCAGCGGGTCCATCACGCTCCGGTAGCGATCCTCGGACCAACCCACCTGGGATGGATGGACAGACACACAGGCGTATCTATCGTGCACAGCATACGTGTGGGCGTTGATTGATTGATGAATGACAGCTGTGTTGTCTTGTCTTGTGTTGTGTTGTGTTGTGCTGCTTACGGCGTCGAGTTTGTTGATGGCGACGATGAGTTGGCCGATGCCGAGCGCCCTCACCAGCTGCAGGTGCTCCTTCGTCTGGCCACCGCGCTCAAAACCTGCACACGCACCACAACCACACCACACCACACCACCACGTCAACACATGATCCGACCCAAGCAACACATTTTGGTGCGACCGACACATGTTGTCGCACCCGTTTTGTTAACGTCCGGCTCACCCACCTGCCTCAAACCTGGTCACGTCCACAACCAACAATGCAGCATCTGCCTGATCGACCGAAGGAAAGAGACAAATGGTTCGGGCGACACACAAAGTGTTTGCGAGACCAAGAGAGGAAGGCATATATGTGCGGACGGACGGACACACGCACCATGACGGCTCCCGAGAGCATGTTCGGGACGAAGTCGCGGTGGCCGGGGGCGTCGAGGACGGTCACCACCTTGTGTTTGGTGGCAAAGTGCTTCACGCACACGTCAATCGTCACGCCACGCGCTCGCTCATCTTCGCCTGCAACACACATACACACATACACACATACACACATACACACAATAAAGGACAAACCAAACCCCTCGCTCGCACAGGAAAGCTCCTGTGTATGAGTGTGGGTCTCTGCCTGTGTGATCAATCCATCACCAGCTGACTGACCTTCGTCGAGTACCCATGCGAAGGCGAAAGATCCCTTGCCGATCTCCTTGGACTCCTTCTGGTACCTGTGGATCTGCTTGGTCGTCACCGCACCCATCTTGACCAATAAATGACCCATCAAAGTTGACTTGCCTAACAGACAGAGAAATCAAGTGGAAACAACCACACACAGTGGTCGAGCAGCCGATGTGCTATCTGCTGCTCCTTCCTTGAGGACCCACCCACCGGCATCGACGTGTCCGATGACCACCAGGTTGAGCGGTGCGAGGCTCAGCAGCCTGGCGTCTGCCTCGGGCGGCTTCTCCCCCTCCACCCCTCCCATGATGCCCTCCTCGGCCGCGCGCACACGCTCCTTCTCGTCAGACCCGCCACGCGACAGGATGCCCTCATCCACTGACATCGATGGCGCCAGTGGCGGCCGACCACTCCCGGTGCTGCCGTTCTGTTTCGGCTTTGACAGCGGCGGCGCCTTGGCGGGTTCTGACTTGATGGCGGATCCTTTGCGTGAGGCGGGCTGGGTGGAGGGGGCCGAGGAGGACTGCTTGGCTGGTTTGGGTGGCTTCTTGGGCGCCTGATGTTGGCGAGATGATGACGCTTGTTGTGGTCGGTAGTCATCGTAACCGTCGTCGTCATAGTCGTCGAAGTACTCGTCATCTGAACGTGCGGAGCAGAGCACACAGTATTCGCGGCCAGATCTATTCTGTCTGTCTGTGCCTGTCGTCACCGTACCATCGTAGTCGATGTTTTTGACCCGCCGCCGACTCATTCTCGTTGTACCACGCGCATTGACGAATCCAGGTGACACAACGAAATCGGCGCTTTCTGTCTTAGACGACGTTCAGCTGGGGACGTTCGCTAAGTGTCGGCTCACCCATGTCCGTCTTAGCTCGCATGTGAGTTTTGATCGCCACGCATGCAGCATTTGGAGTTGAGGGCTGTTCAAGCAGCCTTCAACACGTCCCTGTAGCAGCAAAACTGTCCTCGAAGACAGACCAAGCCCCGGAGCCGTTTCAAGTGGCCCCCACGCACCCCCATCTCTCATCCTGAAGCGCCAGCACTCGTTGCAAACAGGGCGATGGAAGCTGTCATCAAGAAGTGACAGACACCGCTGAGGAGCGCTACGCCAGAGGGGACCAGGTGCCTCCGAGAGAACGTTCGATTCCAATCTCGAGGAAGGGAGACGCCTCTATGCAGGTAGTGACGCAAAGAGGACAGACATGCCACACGTCACAGTGCAAATTAGGTGACCACTGCCTGCTGTGTTTTGTCTGGTACATGCAGAGTCCCAAGCGGTTCTGGGCCGCTGCCTCCTCTCTCCCTCCAGCCGGCCGCTCTGGCCTGAGCCTTCCACCAACCACCACGCCCTCGCCCCCCTCCCCTCACACATCGGCCCTCCCACACAGACACCCGCCGCCCTCCACACAGACCGCGCCCGTCCGACCTCCATCGGTCTCCGCCTTGCCGCCACCATCACTGGCCGCACACAAGCGACAGATCGCCGCCAAGGCAGAGGACGACAAGATTGCAGAAAAGGCCCTCTCGACACATCGGAGGCCGCCGCCGAACCCGACACGCCCGATGCACCAGCCTCATCGAGCGGCGGCGCGGTTCGGCGCCTCGCCCCGGATTGCTGGGAGTGTCTCTGAGAGGGGTGTGCTTGGTGAGCGGCCGGAGGGGAGGAGGGGTGGCGACCAGCCGGATGATAATTTGATAGAGTTTGAGCAGAAGTTGGCCCAGGTGGTGGACGATTACGAGGGACTGATGTCGCTGCAGCACAACCACCACTCACTCACACTCGCACACAAAGACAAGGTCGGTCGGCAGATGGACTGACTGCATAGAGAGATAGACAGATAGACAAGCCGTGGGCGGGGCGCATGCATCTGCTGACCAATGAATCAATCATGTGTCTGCAGAGGGTGGAGTACTTGGAGCAGCGGGCCAAGCGGCTGCAGGCGGAGCTGGAGCAGCTCCGAAGGGGTGGCCAAGGAGGGCCCGCTGCAGCCAACGGGGCTGGATCCTTCCATGGTGGCCATGAAGATCTGGCTGAGGCAGAGGTGAGTGAGCAACACTACACACAGCCCAGCCCAGCCAGTGTCTCTGCATCGCTCATGTCTCTCCACCCTCCGTCCAACCCACCCCACAGGCTGGTCTGATGGAGGAGAGTGTGCAGCTTCTGCTCGAGAGCCGCGACGCAGAGATCGACCTACTCACCCAGCAGCTGCACACCAAACAAAAGATTCTCGAAGAGCTCAAGAACCTCATTCACGGGACCGCTGCTGCCCAGCTGCATCAACACCAGCCACCGAAGGCCCTCCCCCCAGCCGCTCCACGCCACCAAGCTGCTCCTGCTCATGCGGCTGCTGGACTTTCTCATGCGTCTGCTGCGGATCAGGTTGAGAGCCTTGTGCAGTCATTGCCGGACATGCACGAGGTTGAGCGGCTTCGCAAGGAGGTTGGTGACCTGCGAGACCTCCTGGTTGCCAAGGACCGGCAGCTGGCCGCCGTCACGGCTGTCGATCCCAACCTGTCCGAGGTCTGCGCCGTCCAGCTGGGTAAGGACATGTGTGTGCTTGTCTGGTCTGGACAGACAGGGCGATTGTTTGGTGTGGTCGTTCTCTCTGTGGCTCATACATAAATCATTCCAGGTGTGCAGGCCATCAGCATGGTGCAGAACACGATGGAGCTCAAGAACCAGATCAGGACGCTCGAGACGCGCATTGAGCAGACGGAGTGCTGCCTCAATGAGTGGCGCAACAAGGCCGATCAGCTCGAGGGCGTCTGCGACGCCAAGAGGAGGTCAGTCAGAGAATGAAGCCGCACTCTGTTTCTCTCTCTGTCTCATGGCCACACCGTGTGTCCGTCTCTGTGTACGTCAGGGAGTTGATAGACATCACGCGCACGCTGGCTGACCGTGATCAGGAGCTGGCCTCGCTCTACCAGCTCAAGCAAGACCTGGAGAGGGAGGCAAATTCACAGATACAGTCACTCAAGGACGCTCTCGGTCGGCCAGGCCAGGCCAGGCCAGGCCACATCACATCACTCACACAGACAAACATACATGCATGACGTGGTCTGCGTGTCTGTCTGTCTGTCTGCAGCTGGTGAGTGTCGTCACGTCAAGGAGTTGGAGGCAGCGATGGTCGAGAAGGAGGGACAGCTCAGTGAGCTACGCAACCAAGTCCTACAGAGAGACCAAACCATCACGGAACTTCAGGCAAGACTACATGACCACAGCAACATATAAACATCCACTCGCACAGACAGACAGACAGACACTCATTGGTGTCATCAGGAGGAGGTTGCTCGCCTCGAGATTCGCGAGGCTGAGGCCAACAAGCGGGCAGACAACCTCGAGCACCAACTCATACAAGCCACCAAGAACCTGGAGAAGGTGCGCGCACACGTGGGTTGGCGTCTACGCTATGTATGTATGGCTCTCTCCCTACCCTCTCTGTCTGTCTGCCTATTGCAGATAAATGAAGAGGCGGCCGACAGCGAGCGTGTGATTGGCGAGTTGGAGAAGGAGCTCAACGACACCAAAGTCAAACTGCATCATTCAAGAGTCAAGGTACGTCGACCTGTGCACATAATACAAGCGACTGCACTGTTGGCCCTTGCCTGCCTGCCTGCCTATTTGGCTACCAGGAGCTGGGCCGTCAGAAGCGGCTCGAAATGGAGCTCTCCCAGTTCCAACACCAAACCAAGAAGGCCATCGACGAGAAGAACACCGAGGTATGGAGTCTGTAAAGGCAGGCCTGAATCCTCTCAATTCCCCCCTCCCTCTCCTTCCCTCTCCTACCCTCTCCCTCCCTCCCCCAGATCCGTGCGTTGCAGAAGGAGATAACGGCCCGCAGCACCCAGTTGGAGTCCATCCGGTCGTCGATATGTCGCCGCAAGGAAGGCTGCCCCACCCCGTTCCCCCCGCCACCCCAGTTCCCACTGCGGGGCGACATGGGCGACACAAGCCCCGTTGGGGGGGAGGCATTGGACGTGGCCGGGGAGGGCGGCATGGCGTCCGCACGGCTGCGGCCGACGGGCAGTGTGGAGGTGCTCATGCCCATGATGCACAAGGAGAGTCGCAGGGGCGGCAGACACATATCGGGGGCAAACCGGGTTGGCTGGCCATCAGACGCAGCCCACACACACATGCAACCAACGAATGTCTCCGTCTCTCCCTCTCTCTCTGCGTCTCTGTGTCTCTGCGTCTCTGTGTGTCATTCTCTGGCATACTGCAGTATGCCAACCGTCTGTCGTACCAGCCTCCCCGTGTGGATGAGAGCGACGGTACGTCGCTGCCGTCCTTCGGCGCCAGGGGGCGGAGAAACGGTGGGTCGCGGGAGGAGAATGGTGAGGGAGAGGACATCGACAAGCGGGTCAGCGAGTACTTCGACCAGCCCGGACGGCAGGTGAGTGAGGCGGTGATGACTGACGACACAGGCGACATGGATGGGCACACGTGGATCTATGGACGCAATTGACTGTCGTGTGTCACCCACGCTCATGCAGCATCTGAAGATCCTCCTGTGCCGCCTCTCTCGCGGCACCTACCTCTACGCCACGCACCGCGTCAAATTCAGGTCAGTCTCCACAAACATCCATCCCTACAGAGACACTCACCTTGCTCCCTATCTGCATGTGGTGTGTTTCACTGCATGGCATCGTGTTATTTATGTTGTGTCAGAGTCGACCGCTATGGCAGTCTGCAGGGCCGCCACCCATCGACGGGCGACTGGCTGCCCATCGACGACTTTGTGGAGCAAATGTGGGAAGCATCAGGCAGCAGCGGCGCCTCGGGGGGCATCGGCTCCGCACCCACGTACCAAAGCGCGGCGGCTAGCGACATGATGCGCGGCGAGGAGGGGGGCAGGGAATACTAAGTACTAAGGACATCTGACTGGCTGACCGACTTGTCGATGGATGGGCGGATTGGATGACGGGTTGGCCGTGTGGCAGGACGAATATGTCTATAATGCAGGCAGAGATGCCCTACTCAAGACAGCAAGGGGCACGTCTCGTCAGGATCGGGAATCTCATTCATTCAGCACTTATCATCAGACCACGCACCACGGAAGCCATCCATCCAGCCATCCATCCATCCACGCAGTCACTCTCGCGTTCGTGCGTTCGTTCATTCATTCATTCAAACCACTCAGGCAGGCTACGAATGCATGTGTGTATGTGAGCAGCACGGCAGAAGGCGTCCACACCAGTCACTCGCCCACTCACCCCCACACGGCACAGCACGGCACCACCCCCGCCAGCTCCACTGCACCAGCCACGGTGCCTCCCTCATCTGGAAAAGGTGAGGAGCTTCTCCTGGAAGAGGAGCCTGTTCATGCAGGCGTCGCTCTCGCCCTTCTGCCGGACAAAGCCCGCGATGGCGAACGTGTGGTTCTCGCCCTCCTTCTTCACGCCCTTCTCGTCCACCTGACCACCCCATACAGACGGACAGACAGACAGTGAGAGTCACTTGACGTAACCCTCCCTGTGTGCGGTGCTGACGCACCTTGCAGACGTTGATCTGGACGCTGCCGTGCTCCTTGGCGGGGAGGATGCGGTTCGTCGCAGAACTGATGCGCACACAGGCAGACCCGAAATGTCTGTTGGTGCGGCCGGCCTGTCCTGGTGTCGTCGTCTTACCACTTGCGAGGGATGTACAGATCCACGACCTTTCCTTCGTCGTTCTGAGAGACCCGCCATCCCATACGCAGGCAAGACAGCAACACGCCACAGGGTGACCCTCTGACTGACTCGACGAGGCGTAGATCAGCCACCCTTGTCCCTGATCTGTGTTCCCTTCCTTCCCTTTCGCTCTCCCGCCTCCTCTGTCCCTCCTACCTGCATGACGGAGCTGGGATTTGCTTCGCGACGGGTGCGTAGCTCGGGCGACGAGCAGTTTCACGCAATGTCCTAGCTCGGGGGTCTGCGAGCCTAGCTCATGAACAAACGCAAAGCGAAGGAGGACATACTCTTGGAGTTGAGGGCCAACTCACCCGTGTAGTGAGGGAGCCGTCGAGTGAGCGCAGTGACGAGTGAGTGCGGCTGCGCAGTTTTGGCACCACCATGGCGTACAGCGGCGGCCAGCCCTACCCGGGTCCGCCTCCAGAATTGGCCCATGACGGGCTCACCGCCGGCGCAGGACATCCTGGTGGGCAAGACACACGTGTGTTGCACACACGTCTGCCCACCCAAAGAGCAAGTGGATTTGTGGATGGACATCTGTGTCGTCACGCCGGTGTGGTGTCTGTCATGACAGGCGGTGGTGTCCATCCGAAGCCCGACACGAGCAATCTGACGATGGAGGAGCTCCAGAAGGTGCAGGACTCAGTCCAGAAGTTCATCCTGGAGAGCAAGTACCAGCCTAAGGGCGACGAGAAAGTGCCCTTTATGAAGGTCGCCAACATCGCCCTCTTCAGCGGCGTGGCCGGCGGCGTCTTGACCCACCAGCTCCTCAGGCGCACCATGCCCAGCACCACACCGATCGGCTACACCATCCCGAGCGTGCTGACGGGTCTCTGGGTGGCACAGGTGGCCATGCGGTTCACGCGCAAGTGGACCTTCCAACAGATACTCGAGATGGACAGCCCCCTAGGCCAGCGGGCCAGGCAGGCACTCCTCGAAGCCCGCACTGGCGTCCCACACGGACCGCCACAGCAGGCAATGTCAGTCAATATTCATTGACACGCACACGCACGCGCACATCCCTAAGTTGACTGACTGACACGTCGGTTCGGTACTCTTCTCCCTCACCGTTATTTCCTCGTCTGTCTGTCTGTCTGTCTGATGTGCATGTCATGTGTTGTGTCTGTCTGTCAGTGGTTATGGCCAGCCCGACTACGCCCCTCCCGATGCCCCCGTGGGCCACCCCGGGCGGGTGATGCTGCCCTACTACACGGACGGCAGCCCCCGGTGGACACCGCCACCCAGTGACCCCAGCGCACAGCCACGGGGGACGTGGTCAGGTGCCCCGCGAGGCGCCTCAGTACCCATGTGGCCGACAGAAGGGGTGCCGCACCGCCAGGCAGTGCATCCCGACAGTGGCTGGGGGGCCGAGGGCAGTGGCGGACAGGAGGGGCCTTCGCCATGGGCCGACACTCAGGGGTGAGTGAGTGGGTGGGTGGGTGGGCAAACGTACCTTACCAGCACAGATGAAGTGCGTGCTTGTGTTTGTCTTGGTGGCTGCATGACGCAGGAGCCCGTGGGGCGATGCGGGTGCTGGTGCTGGTGGCGGTGGTGCGCCCGGTGGTGCAGGTGGTGGTGCTGGTGGCTACCGGAGTTGGCGTGACCTGCAGCAGCAGCAGCAGCAGCAGGCGGCGTCCCCCCAGCAGCCCCCCGGTGGCACACCGATGGACAGCGGGTGGGGCCAGCCGCCCAGCGACTTCGGCGGGGGAGGCCAGGAGGGAGAGGGCGGATTCGGTGCGCACAGACACCAACACGGAACCCAGAGGTGTCCATCCACCAACCTCACTCATCCAGGAATCTCTCTCTCTCTCTCTCTGTGTGTGTCATGTGTGCAGGTGGTGAGAGTTCAGTGCCTCCGTCGATGCGCCGGCCCGGCTACCGCACGTGGGATGACATCCGATCGCAGCAGAGGCCACCACCGCAGCACTGACTGACTGAACCAGGGAGCGAGAGGGGGTGGGGGGGCTGCGTGTACGCGTGTGTCTTCATTTGGGAGCTGGTGGTGCATGCATCTCGTCGAGTCTGTGTGATGTGATGTAATGTGCGGTGCGCTTCGGTCGATTGGCTGTGAGTGACGTGACACCTCGCCGTGCCGTCTTAGGGTCGTCTCTTGGTGTCGGTCTTTCCACGACAGACAAGGCGGGCGACGATCCATGCCATGCACACCGAGCCGAGGGCAGACAGACAGACAATTGACCGTGCGCGGCGCATACCATCGATTTTTGTGGGTGGTCTGAATGAATGACGCACGGGTTCATGGATGCCTGCCCTGCATACCTAGCTGCCCTGCAGTCAGTGGGTCCACACAGTGAGCGAGCAAGGAAGGCAAGGTACGCTGCAGGCTGCCTTGCCTTCCACGTCTGCATATATATGACACGACATACATACATACGTGGTATGTGTGTGCTGCCTGCGTGTCCGGCCTGGTGTGAGAGAAGCGGACCGGCCGATTTTCTGGACGGGACGGATGCGTGTGGTGTTGGTTGGCGGCTTGCGCGTCTGTGCGTCCGGCTAGCTGTAGAATGGACCAATGGATGGATGGATGGATGGCAGGCAGGCAGGAGGCACGTGTGGTTTTAAGCCGACAAGCGACCGACTCTGCCCACTGTGTGCTTTGTGTCGTGACATCGGTATCAACCACCATCGGTTCGGTTCGGTTCACACACGAGCGACTGATCAAATGTAAAGCTTCTAGATGGCGACGCGCAAATGTCTGTCATCAAACCAAACCAGGCGGCCACACCTGCCTGCACCGATGTGCACGTAGTCAGCCTGCCTGCCTGCCTTCGCTCCCTCTCCCCTTGTTTGACATCTGCTCGCTCCGTCTCCGTCATCTGGTCCACCCTCGCATGAGAAAAAGCTGTGTGTTGATGTAAACACACACCCCGCACGGACAGGTGAGGGGAGGCCCTGTGCGGGCGGGGGACACACACACACACAGCTACACACACACCTACACACACATGGACGTGGACCACGTGGAGGGAAATAATTGGCAGGCACAGCACGCATGAGCGTGGAGGCAGGCAGGCAGGCCACCGGCAGCAGCATGCAAGCAAAGCATGCAAGGCATCACATCACAACACATCACATCACAACACATCACAGCGCCACACACCACCAGCAGCAGCAAGGGCATGCAGTCACCACCAAGCAGACAAACACGCAATCAACCAACCAACCAGCCAACCAGCCAGCCAGGCAACGACTGTGTCTCGGGTACGAAATGCACGTGCAACCACCACACACATCATCAAACGCCTCAAGTGTATGTATATGTGCTGACACACAAGACAACCAGACAGAGACAGACAGACAGGTGGGTGGGCCGCCATGGCACCCGACCGACCGACCGACAAGCATCGCTTGAGTGGTATGTACGACGTGAGTGAGTATCAACAGTAGCAACCAACAGGCAGGCCATTGCACCCACACACCCATGTCATCAATGTAGCCACACAGCAGAGCAGCGCAGCAGCAGCACCGAGTATCAACCAGCCCAACCCAAGACCCCCCATCTACCCACCCCACCGGCAGCAGCACACTCATCGGACGGACAGTGGATAAAACACTTCCGAGAGCTAGCTACCTCGCTCGGTGCCATCCATGAGCCCCCTCCCTCCTCCCCCCCCCTGTCGATTCATTTCTGCAGCCAACTGGTGCTGCATCGCCTTCACCGACACGAGCTCGAGAGCGATCAGACACACTGGTGGACCAGCGTGTTGAATGCCCCAACAGCCCGGTCAGGTGACAGCAACGACAGCTGCCATCACTCGCTGCATTAGTAAGACAAGCCGTGACAAGACTCGACACAGCTAACCAGACAGCGACCAGCCAGGGAGTCAGTGTAGGGGTCGACAGGACATGACATGAACATCGGCCCAGCACTCTTGAAACTTTACCTGCTCTCCGCAGATAGACGTGAGGCTCTGGTCTCTCTCTCTCGCTCTCTTCCAATTACTCACTCACTCGCCCGTCTGTCTCTGTGTCTGTCATGCTGACTGAGTGTATGCGGCCGCCCCATCCACTGTACTGCTCCCATACCGGTCGTTTGCACGAGACCAGTTGAGTTGATGAAGCCACAGCACCCATTCCCTCAGCACACAAAAACTGGACGGACGGGCAAGACACCCCAGTGACTGACACGACATCAATCCCACGATCCGATCACACATGCGTGCAGGCAGGCAGGCAGGCAGGCACGGTGGTCCCATCCATGTCGGTCGTCGTCAAACAGACAACAGAAGCAGCCGCCGGTTGGGGTGTGTGGCTACGCGTGAGGGTGTGGTGTGAGTGGGTCATTCATTGATATGATGAGGGGGTGTCTGTCGTGTGTCTACACGTAGTACACGTCACGTACGTGTGTATGTGTGTGTGTATGATGGGACGGATGGTACCGGTCACTCAGTGAGTGAGTGAGGGCATGGCAGCCCGCACGATAGATACGCGTGGTCAGTCAGAGTCAGAAAAACAGACAGTCAGTGCTCACTCATGAGATAGATGATGAAGAGCGACAACATGAAGAATGAATGAACGTGTGGTGATCGAGGGAGAGACATGCATGGAGACAGACAGACCGACAGAGAGAACGACAAATTGAAAGAGGCACACAGCACAACACAGCACAACAACACGGACCGGATGAATGAAGGTTGAGTTGAGTGTGCAAGTCAGTCAATGACACACACACACACACACACACACATACACACACTCAGACACACAAAGAAAGAAAGAAAGAAACAGACACACAACGCAGACAGACCGACCCCCCACCCGACCGAAGATAAACAGGGCCATCCCCACCTATACACGCTTTCGTGTACTCTCTCTCTCTACCCGTCCGTCCCATCCCATCCCATCCTCCTTGTTGGATACTAAGGTACGCATCATGTCATGTCATGTGTGGGCTATATAATGAATGAATGAATGGATTAGATCAACGTAGGTAGGTGTAGCTACGTACGTCCTTTCACCGGATGTCCTTCCTCTCGAGCTGTCTGTCGGTTTGTCGGTCGTCAGGCCGCCGGCGAGCCGCTAGCTATGGTACAGACGACATCACATCCATCCATCTCCATGACATCAACCAACCGGTCTGTCTGTCATCAAAGAAAGACGCGCGTGCACGTCAGTCGCGTCGCCAGGCAGCAGAGAGGAGAGGAGAGGAGAGACAGCAAGACAGCAAAGACAGACAGAGCTAAGACAGCAAGCAAGGAAAGGACACGCACATGGTCATCGACAGTGCGTCTTGTGTGATGTGGCAGCACGCCTCGCCAGCCATGCCGACCGACCGACCACATCACTCAATCAATCCCATCCATCCATCCATCCATCCCCGTAATCCTCCAGCACGAGAAAAATATTTCCCCCTTAAGGTCCCCTCCCCGCCCTGCCCGCGCCACACCACATGTACGAGAAAACGGCCCAGCCCAGCCCAGCCGCAGCAGGAGCCCCAGCGAGAGGCGCGCGTCTATCCATTCCATCCCTAGCCCTTACGGCCCGCCATTCACGTGAATGGCGACGAAAAACACTTGCCCACAAACACGCGACGCGCACACAAAGCTTGCATCCGTGTCAGTGTCACGTCACGCAGACCGCCTATTGGGGCCTCTGGCGACGGGGCTCCTGCCAGGTGAGATGAGGTTGGTGTCCTCGCTGTTGCCGTCGATGCTGCCGTGTAGGTGGCTGGGCGATGCGCTACTGGATGAGCTCATGGGTGATGCCATGACGGTGTCCTGCGAGCTGCACCGGTGCTCCTTGCCCAGCGGCAGCCGGGGGGGCGGCAGACTGACGTTGTTGGGGACGGGGCCGCCCTTGCCGCTGCCGCCGCCCACGACGTAGGGCGCCATGGTGTGGGCGTGGAGGGGCTTCCGGGGCGAGGGAGACGCAGGCGATAACTGCAAAGACATCACACACACATGAACAGCACACCAAATGAATTAGACGGTCGATGGATGCGATGCGCATGTGTGTTGTGTTGCGTACGTGTGGCGAGTAGAGTGGCGAGGTGGGTACGGCCGTGGCGAGGGTGGCCAGCGATGACGCGCTGGGCTGCTGCAGGGCCGACCGGTACACGCCCACCGACACGCTCGCGTGGGGCGTCAGCTCAGGCAACACTACTGGGTCAAACGAAGGACCGTCGGGAATCGTGTTGCTGCAGACACCACCATACACCGAACAACACAGCCCACACACAGAGTCCCTTGGCTGTCGGTGTCTTGTCTATGTGGGTGGTCATTCATTCGGCTGGTTCACCGTACGTACCGTCTGTATGTTGCGTCTTGCGGCAGCGAGTTGAGGTGGTCGACCACCCATGGGTGGTGCAGCGCCTGCTGGGCCGTCATGCGCTTCCGGGGGTCGCGGTGCAGCAACTTGTATATCAGATCTACCGCCAACTTCGGAACGTCCTTCTGCCACACACACACACGACACACGACACACACGGATGGATGGATGGATGATGCGGGTGTGGTGTGTCTCTCTGTGTGTCCCTCCTTGCCTACCCGTTTGGTCATGTTGGGCAGTGGGCAGCTGAGTAGTGAGCGCATCATGTCCTCCTCAGACTCGCCCTCAAACGGCAGATGCCCGAATATCATCCAAAATAAACAAATGCCTACACCGCACCGATACACACAGGATAGACAGGATAACACGCAAACGTATATGTCAGTCTGTCAACAGGCATGGACGTCATGTCCCGTGCGAGGAGAGGAGTGAGTGAGAGCCTTGTGTGTTTGTGAGTGCCTACCGAGGCTCCAGACATCGGCTGGGAGTCCGTATGCGCCAAATATCACCTCGGGGGCGACGAAGGGAATCGACCCAAGGCCCTCTGCTAGCGAATCGTTGCCGCCCACCACCTATACTCGCACACACACAGACACACCAGTGCAGTGCAGTGCGTCCATTCGTGTGTGGTGTCGTGTCGCATCTCTGTGTGTGTGCATCTGACTGATCTGTGCAGTGCAGTCAGTGTTGTCAGTACCTTAGTGGCGAATCCGAAGTCTGTCAGAATGATGGCGGCCTTGGACAGATCGCTCTGAGTCAGCATGAAGTTCTGAGGCTTGATGTCGCTAAAACCACACACAACACAGACACACAACGACCAGCCAGACATACAATGCCTGCCTGCCTTCATCGCCCGCCAACCACTTCATTCACTCACGCCCCTCGCTTAAGTGCAGTGCAGTGCTCACCGGTGGGCGATTTTCCGTTCGTGGAGGCTCCTGACGGCGAGGAGCATCTGTGTGAAGATCTTGGCCTTGAGGTCCTCCGGCGTCCGCTTCAGTTCGTCCGCCCTGTCCCAGAGCTCGCCGCCGTCGAGTTTCTCCATGACGAGGTAGACGGCGGGCCCGTGCTCCACCACCTCATACAGCTGCACCACAAACGGACCCGCACCCTCCTGAACCGTAGACACCTCCGATAACAGCTCCTTCCTAAACACACACACAGACATCCCACAGACACGCAGAGGGACATTCACAAGGTGTCTGGAGAGGGGGGGAGGGGGGGGGGGGGGTCAG